GTCCATCTCCAGTTACCGGGTGATCAATAGGGACAGGACATTTGTGGAAGAAGACAAGAAGGCAAGAAGCGGGGAAGGGGGAGGGGAGGAGAAAGCAGGGGAGGGTGCGTGTGACTGGCTGGCTGGGGTCAGACACGCCCATCTGGGCTTAGCTCCGTCCCCGGGACCTAGGGAGTCTCTTCCTGCTCCAGCCTCCTCCTGGCTAGGACCAAATGCCTACAATCTGACACCCACCAAATTTTTAACGGTTTCTATAAGCTCCTGTTGACATCATCAACATTTATTGTTGTACGGAACAGGTGCACAGGACCTTAATCTGACACGCAGGACCTGTCTCCAACATCCCCCACAAACACCACCCTGCGTGGCTTGAATACTTCCAGGAACAGGGAACTCACTCCTCCTTTCCTATCCCCAGCTGCCAAAGGCCCAACTGAACTGGTTCCTTGGAGCCTCTAAGAATTTTCTGAGCAGATGAATTTGCCGCTGGTCAGAGCTTTGGGGTGAGAACAGGATGACCCCTGCCTACTCTCTGTCCTAGACCCAGAGTGCACAGGACTGGCAATGTTTCCTGCGCCCCAGCTCCTGGACGCCCACCCTGGCCAGGGGCCTGCTGAAGTCTAGTCTAGCAGGTACGCTATCACACCTGAGAAAAGACATGAAGATCTCACAGCGTGAGGGACACGCTGTCCGCACATGAGCCGCCCTGGTTCAGGACCCTGGACAGGGGGTTTAAAAGACTTTTGAAGTAAGTGCACACATCTTAAAAATCAAGACATTTCATGGGGCGCCTGGGTGGCTTAGTCGGTTAAGCGTCCGACTTTCGCTTAGGTCATGATCTCGCGGTTCGTGGGTTCGAGCCCCGCGTCGGGCTCTGTGCTGACTGCCAGCCCAGAGCCTGGAGCCTGTTTCAGTCTGTGACTCCCTCTCTCTCTGACCCCCCCTGCTCACGCTGTCTCTCTCTCTCTCTTCTGGAAATAAATAAAACATTAAAAAAAAATCAAGACATTTTACATAGATATCTACTACGTGCCTTCTCTTGTCATCTCAGAAGGTCCAGCGATATTTGGTCGCTTGTTCTGTGAAGGGTCTGCTCTCCCCATTTCTCTGAAGACCACACCCTTCCCCATTGTCTCTCCTGGTCTACATTGTCCAGGGGTGCTTATCTTTCCAACTTAAGGGACCCAAAGCTCTTCTTGGTGGGGCTGGAGAAGCTAGTATCTTGAAAATCTCTCCTGTATGATCCTGGCTGGGTTTGGGCTTTGTTGAGCTTGAAACACTTGGGGGGGGGGGATGGGGAGGTGGGGGCTCTCTTTCTGCTCCAAGGACAGTAAAAGTATGATCACATTTCTTCTCAAATCCAGAAGTTGCCCCAGATTTGCTGCACCGTTAGAGCCAGCTGCTCCCCTGCCCCACACCTGTGTTTCCCCAACTGTAGAAGGAGAAAATAGTTCCTTCCCCCTCCCTGTCTTCCAGGAACATGAGTAAATAAGGAAGCAGGTCCCCCCCACCTGCCCTGGCTTCTCTCTATCCCAGACCCCTGTTTTGGCAGAGCCTGCAGGGAGGCAAGGCCAGTGGAGGCAGGGGCTTCAAGGTGCTGGAGCCCATTTTGGGTGGGGGTGCAGCCCCCACCCCAGCAGCCAGGTGTCTCTGTGCTCCCCCAAACCCCCACTCTAGGTCCCCCTTGAAGGTGGGAATAGCTGACAACAGTAGCAGGGTGTACCAGAGACCCCTGGATTTGGGAGAGGGGCCAGTGAGATGGCCCTATATAGAGATGAACTTGAGCTTGGACATGCTTGCATTGGATCTTGGGTGTCTGGTGTTTAGTTTACCTGTGCGATCTCCTTCTATTCCCTGACCTCAGTCTCCTCATCTGAAAACTTGAAGTAGAGGAGAGCACTGTCTCTGTAGGGAAACCTCTACGAGGTGGAGATCAGGTCCAGCTTGCTCAATGCCCTATTCTTGGCTTGTGGGATCTTAGGGATTCGATAACCATTGGGGAATCAGATGACTATTAATTAAACAAGAAAATCCTCATGAAGCCTTAGCTCCGTGCCCAGTGAGACTCCATCAATGAGACTGCAGCAAACGCTTGATAAATATCCGCTACCGTTGGCAGAGGCTGCAGGGGAGGCACTCCGGGCCATGAAACTCGAAGGGAATCCCAGAACAGGTTCAGTGTGAGATCCCCGAACCCAAGAGGGCTCAGGCAGTCCCCAGGTGTCCACTCTGGAACATCAAGGGCATCGCCTGGGCGGCTCCGTCTTGTCTCTCTGGGCCTCTCTGGCTCCCTGGCCCTGCTGGGGTTTCACACCCGGAATTCAAAAAGGAAGAGCAGAGGAAGTCGCAGCCCTTTGCGAACCACCCACCCAGACCTAACTAATCGATAAGCCAAGCTGCCGCTTTCCTGCCAAACAGCCGCCTGAAGATTACTTACTTTATCTGTGAATTGATGGCCATACTTTTGCCACCACTACGCCTGATCCCCACCGCCCGCAGAGGCTGGGTGCCAAGGGGCGCCGGGAGCTGCCGAGCAGGTCTCCAGGCACCCCAGTCCTCATGCTGCAGGTGGGAAACTGAGGCCCAGAGAGGGGCGTTGGGGGGCGGAGCTGGAACCCAGCCCATCTGGCCCTGTGAGGTGTAAGTAAGGAGGGCCACTGACCCGAGCCCTGAAGATGAGGGTCCCCTGCAGCAGCCCGAGGTCAGTCAGAAAAGCGGCTGCATCCCCCAGAAGGTGTGGACCCACCAGGACGCTGCTGGGACTGCGAGGTGGAGGGGTGGGGTCTTATGCCGACCACTGCATCCCCAGGGCAGCCAGAGGTCCCCAGAGGCCCCAGTCCTGGACACGGATCAGAAAGTTCGGTCCTAGATCCCCAGCTTCCACAATGGTGGCCCTACATCAGGTGGCTTCGAGAACATTCCTGATTTAACAGAACCTGCCCCATGTGGGGGAGAGTTAGAAATCACAGGTGTCAGAACCACAGGCCCCTGCATGCGCACCTGCCGGCCTTGAACCTGAACCATCTAAACAACTGCTTGCATTTGTCTTGGCCCACCGGGAACACACATGCGTGTGCCGAGTAAGATAAAATGCAAACACAAGCTGAAAGCCAAAGCCCTGCACCTCCCTGGCCAACCCCACTCCGTAGGCAGGACCACAGTGATCACCTGTCAGCACACAAAGCTTCCAGCCTCTGCCCTGTACCCATGATGCTCTTTCTGGCCCCAGACAGACTTCTGTCCAACGTCTATACCCCAGATATAGAACTTCTGCACGCAGATGTATTATACATTCTATAAAAATGGGCTTATACCAGACACACCACGCAACAAATTGCTTTTTCCTCTTACCAGTAACCCTGGACTTGGGCGGTCGTTGGAGCCTGCTGTGGAAAGATGCTCCCAGTGTATGTTGGCCCCATATGGTCTAACCCGCGTTCCCAATTCCTGGTCACGTCCCACCTTGGTCCATTTAACGGTCTATCGTCACCATCCAGTGAGAGGGGCGTGATTGTTATCATCCCCATTCTACAGATGGGGAAACTGGGGCACAGAGAGGCCCTTGTGCAGAGTCTCACGGCCAGTGGACAGCAGCACCGGCAATCCAACCAGGCTGCCCGGCGTCAGAGCCATACTCCCAACCATCACACCAGTGATTCTCAGACCTGAGCACACACCAGAATCCCAGGAAGGGCTTGTGCCAGAACAGATCGCTGGCCCCGCCCCTGGAGCTTCTGATGCAGTCTGTCTGGTGTGGGGCCCCAGCATTTGCATTCCTAGCAAGCTTCTAAGTGATGCTGATGCCGCTGGGCCAGGAGTCACAGTTGGAGAGTGACACATGCTTCTGTCCCCTGTGATTGACCCCTCCTGCTGCAGGGCTGAGGCTTCCCCGAGCCTCTCTCCTGACTGACTCAGGGACAGAGCTGACTCAGGGACAGAGCGTTTGGCCCTCAGGCCAGCACATTGTCTGCTGAGCGAACAAATGACCTGGACAAGCAGAGAGACCTGTAATCATCTGCCATCTTTCCTGGGGACCAATGGCGGTTTTTATCTATGATGGTCTTTTGCCTCCGCCCCAAAGTGGCCTCAAAACATATTCTGCTCCAAAGCTCCGAGTAAAGGATTCGCTTGGCAGGTGTGGGTTGTCCATATCCCGCAATATCCCGAAGAAAAGTCTGGCTCTTGACTGGGTTCTGGGAGACAGTCTCTGAGCCCTTGGAATGTCTTCCCTGGTAAAGTGTCTTTGTGTCCCTGGGGCTTCGGGACAGGTCAGATCTGGATGGTGATGATGTGATTTATGGCAGGGGGCTCCGGGTCAAGGGACTGGAGACCAAAGCCAAACACACAGGCAGTGGGCCACGCCTACGTGATCCATTGCCACCATTAACCCCGGATGCCAAGGCTTGGGCAAGCTTCCCTGGGTGCCAGTGCTCCACAGGTCATCACACATCATGGCTGCGGGGATCGAGGGCTGTCTGCAGGACCACACCGGGAGACGACGGGAAGCTCGCGCTGGTGTCCTGGGGGCCCAGGCACCTTCTCCTGTTGCTGATCTTAATCTCTTTTCAGTGTGATAAACCATAATTGCGAGCGCGACTTGCAAAGCTAGGTTCTGTGAGTCCTTCTAGCAAATCGCTGAGCCTGAGGGTGGTCTTGGGGGACCCCCCCCCACAAACACCGATTCACTGAGTTGCTGGACAACACCAGAGCACTTCCTGAGCGCTTGGCTTTCACCCAGGCCCTGCCCACACTGCCTAGCTCCCCTGGTCTCCTCCAGACCTTCCAGCTCTCTACGGGGGCTGTTTATCATCCACCATTCACCTCCCTTCATGGAAAAACCCAGATGCCTGGTCTGTGCAGCCCTGGCCACCACAAGCTGCCTCTTAGATGAAATATCAGGTAACAACATCCCGGGACCCAGGTACCATCCTGAGCGCTAGCTCGCATCCCGAGACCCAGCTGGCCATCCCAGCGCCCCCCTCCCACCCTCGCAGGCTTACCTGCCAATGACCTCGATGTTGGAGATGGCATAGAAGTACTTGTAGAGGTTCTCCCGCTGCACGTAGGTGCCCCCCAGCGCCGGGCGCAGCAGCCGCATGCGCAGGTCCGTGACAGTGAAGAAGTCCTTGAGGCCCTTGGCGCTCTCCAGGCGCGTGTAGAGGTTGCCCATGTTGCGCATGTCGGGGCCGGCGAAGATGGCCAGGCGGTCCCGCACCTCGAAGCGCACGTGCTTCTCCTTCTTGGAGCCCGCCCAGCGCGAGTACTCCTCGGTGCACAGCACGCGGTGGGCGCCCGAGGCGGGCAGGTCGCGGGCCCGGCGGGCGGTCATGCCGAAGGCCTCCATGCAGTCCTCGGCGTAGAATTGGTAGGGCTGCCACGTGCGCCCGTTGTCCAGGGACTTCTCGAGGACCATGACCGTGGGCCGGCCGTACTCGAAGGTCACCACCACGTCGTCCGTCAGCTCCACGCTCTTGTTCCACGAGAGGGTGATGTTGGCTTCCAGGGGGCTGGGGTAGCGGCTCCACGTGACACTCTGCCAGTACGTGGCCAGGCCCTCATCCTCCGCATCGAACATGAGCCGCGGCGGGTGGGCCAGGTCCGGGTTGGACGCGTCACACTCGTTGCTGCACAGGTAGGGGTTCTCCTGTAGGGGAGGAGACGGGAGGGGTGGGCGCCGCCCGCTCAGAGGGACTGGGGGGCCGCGTCCAGGCCTGGCCCCCGCTGCGTGCCCAGGTGTTGGCCGGGAGGCCAGGGAGCCCGGGCTCCGGCGTCCAGGCACTGGGAACCTCTCCCGGGCTGGTGATCCGTACTCGTTTCCCCGCGGCACATGAATCCGGCGTGCGAGCCTCCACACCCTTGCACCTCCAAACACAGCCCCTGGAGAAGCGAGAGTGTTCGTGGCCTGCTCCCAAGGTCCCCGGGGCTCCTCGCGGCCTGCGGGACCCAGTCTTTACCACAACTCCCCAGCACTCTCCTTCCACCACATACCTGGAGCCCAGTCTCCCCCTCCAGGGGCCCAGCCCGCCTCAGCACTCCCGTCCTCCACTCCCGAGCTGTCTGAGCCTCGGAGCCTGTGCAGATGGTGTTCCCTCTCCTTGATGTGCCCTTCCACCCTCTGTTGGCCGGGAAAGTCCCTACTCGCATTCTTAACCCTTTAAACATCGCCTACGCCAAGGCGCCCTCCTGACCCTTTGAAGGACACGGTTAGCAGCACCGTGAGCGGCTGCGGTAGAGAAAGTCAAAGCCACGGCAAATACTTGTTGAGCCGCCACCCAGTGCCAGGCATGTGGTCTCAGTTACACAGACCTCATGATCTTCTTTCTCTCTTATTTTGTGTCTCACCTCTGGACACAGAGTAGAGGTGTTAGCTCCATGCTCCGGATGAAGGAGCCCGGGCTGGAGAAGCGCCAGGAGCCACCCGGAGGCCTGAAAATATCACTAAAGGGGAGGATGCCTGGCGTTGGAGGGATGAACAGGGGAGCACCGGGGAGTTTTAGGGCAGCAAAGCGACTCTGTGTGACACTGTCATGGTGGATTATGTAACGCCGTGCACTTGTCTAAACCCACTGAGCCAATAACCCCAAGAACGATCCCTTGTGTAAACCATGGACTTGGGGTAAGAATCACGGGGCGCCTGGGTGGCTCAGTTGGTGAAGCGTCCGACTTTGGCTCAGGTCATGATCTCATGGTTCATGGGTTCAAGCCCCGCGTCGGGTTCTCTGCTGTCAGCACAGAGCCCGCTTTGGATCCTCTTCCCCCACTGCCCCTCTCCTGCTCTCTGTCTCTCTCAAAAATAAATAAACATTAAATTTTTTTTTAAAAAAGGAATCACTATGGATGTGGCCCACCCGCTGTAACAAACGCCCCAAGCCAGTGCACACGTTAACAGTAGGGAAAGCTGCTCCTGGGGGGACAGAGGGTGCTGCAAACTCTCTCCCCTGTTGGCTCAACTTTCTGTTGGCCTAAAACTGTTCTAAAACGTAGTCTAGTAATTAAAAAAAAAAAATGCTATCACGGAAAACCACAGTGCCCAGGCCACTCACAGCCCTGTTTGAGGAATCTTTGTTCAGAGACAAACAAAACAGCTTGGATCTGAGTTAAAGTCTCTCACTCCAGAACGAGCCACTCGGCTCCCACGGGGGAGCGGGCGCGCTGCCTCCCGAGAGGCTGAGCTGGTGCCTCCAGCATCGCCGTGGTGGCCTCCGGTCGCCACCGTCACTGCTGAGGCTTTTTAGCGGAGGGTGAGTTCCCAGGCCGCCCCGGGGTCCTCGGCGGGCAGGCTGGCCCCGGAGATCAGGCTGGCCCTGAGGCAAAGGCTTGACCAAGATAGCTCTGTCCTTGGGCCCCTGGGGTGCGGCCGCCATCCGTCCCACCCGGCCCGGGCCTGCCGAGTCTCAGGACCCACAAACCTCAGGAGGGAAGGGGTAAAGCACTGAAGGCCCAGGATGGGGAGGAACCGGCCCAGGTGCCCTTGACCGGGGGTCGTGTCTGAGGATGAACCCGCTCCTGTCCTCGGCGACCTCAGGGGGTCCTGAACACCGGTGACCTCACAGGCAACGCGGCAGGGACAGGCATCTGGCTCGGCTCGTGGGGGTCCCAGCTCCCTGGAGCTCCAGCTGAGTGACCTTGTGCCGGTGCCCTGGGAGGCTCCCTGGGGAGGGCTCCGCGGCCTGCGGAGGCCAGGCCTGGTGACGGGCAGGCAGCAGGCAGCGAGGGCTAGAAGCAAAACCCCGCCTGGGGGGCGGGGGGGCAGCCCCTGCCCCAGGCCCTCTGCCAGCCCCCCCGCAGGGAAGGACACCCTGAATCCAGAGGCGGAATTGGCTCTGGTCACGCCATTTGGGATGGAGATGCCCCAGAGCTCACACGTGGACACTGGGGAGCAAGAGAACACAGGTCACCCCCAGGACGGCATCCCCACCCCCACCCCCCACCCAGCAATCACGCTCTCCTCACCCCCAGGTCCCCCTCCACTCCCGCCAGCACCTTCTCAGGGGCTAACTTGTGTCTCCCTCCAAATTCCTCCTAAACATCAGGATCTCGGAATGTGACTGGTCCGAGACAGGGGCCTTTAAAGGGTGATTACGTTAAAAGGAGACCATCAAAGGGGCGCCTGGGGGGCTCAGTCCGTTAAGCGCCCGACTTCCGCTCAGGTCATAATCTTGCGGGTTCGTGGGTTTGAGCCCTGCGTCGGGCTCTTTGCTGTCAGCACAGAGCCCGCTTCAGATCCCCTATCCCCCCCTGCCCCTCCCCTACCCATGTTCTCTGTCTCTTTCTCTCTCTCTCAAAAATAAATAAACATTAAAAAAAATAATGAGACCACGAGGATGGGTCCTGATCCAACCCAACTGGTGTCCTTGTAAAGAGAGGGAGCTTGGATCCACAGGGGGACACCGGAGAGGAGCGCACACAGAGGGGAACCGCGTGAAGCAGCGGGGGGTGGGGGGGGAGGGGTGGGGGCGGGGGGAGGGGGGCATCTGCAGGCCAAGGGGAGAGGGTCTTAAACTTTGATCTTAGACTTCCAGCATCCAGAGGCACGAACAAGCACGCCTCTGTTGGTTAAGCCACCCAGGCCCTTGCTCATCCCAGAGCTGGGGGCAAAGGGAAGGTCAAGGTCGGAGGATCGGTTCAGAGGTGGCAGGACTGAATTGTGAGGTTTTTTTTACGATTTCCCTAGAGCCTCTCTGGGGCTCTCTCTCCCCAGACCTGGTCTCTAGCACACGCTGGCCCCAGGGGACGTCAAGCTTCCAGACACACCTGGGTGACTCCATCAATCCAGCCCCAAAGGCTGCGCCTGTTCCCTGGTTGCCTCATCCCCTCTCGCCTCTGAGCTCCTCTGGGTTTGCAGAGCCCTACCCCCATGCACCTCCTCCAGGAAGCCCTCCTGCCTGACTCAGTATTTAAACCCAGTTCCTTGTCGTCCATCACGGGTTATCAGTGTGCTTATCTGGGACAGCGTAGGAAAGCCTGGACCTCAGTAGCCGCTCACTAAATTACAGTTCTTACTGTCATCACATTAATTATTCACATAATGACGATTCTATTAATATTCATATATCTCATGGTGAATGTTGATATTACTCTTGTCAACCCCCAACTGCTGTGAACCACCCACGCCTCACCTTTCCCCGGTCTTACTCCATCCCTCTGCCTTGCCTTTCCTGCCCAGCCTCTCGGGGGACCCCACGGCGGACATCGGATCCAGCACAGCCCCTAGCCTGTCTGTCACCAGGAAGACTGACATGGCCCGCTCTGCCAGGGGACAGGGGGCTCCGGTTCGGCTGCCGACACCACGCTGCCTTAACCTTCAGGGCCCACTGGCCCCCCGCCACCCCCCCCACCCCCCGGCCTGGGAAGCAGATGGTCAGAAACTAATGAACCAGCCTGTGCATTTACCAGCCCCACGCCTGCTGCTGAGCGGGCTTAATCAACAGCGAGCACGATAAATAAATCCCAAGCCATCGCCAGCACAAGTCTCCCCCCCCCCCCGTCTCCCATTTCACTTCTTCCTCCCACCGCCCTCCCTGCCCCAAGATCTTAGAATTCCAGGTAACCGTTTGGGGGGGGGGGCCCCCGGTAGGTCTCCTGCTGAAGGCGCTGTCCATGCTGAACGGGCAGCCCTTCCCAAAAACCCATTTTGTTCTCGCCGTCCCTTTCCTTCTGTTCTCCCCTAGCACGGTCCCCAGGAGGAGCCTGGGGTTGGGGGCCCAGTATACCCCAAGCTCCCCGCCCCCTGTCCCAAGTGCTGTGTCCCACTGACTGCTCATTACAGCAGGTGTGAGGGAGGGGCCAGGCTGGAGGGCCGGCGTCTCCCCGCCTTCCTCAGTCCGCACGTTTCCACCTAATAATGAAACAGACAGTCCAAATAATACCTAGTGCGCAAGACCTGGCCTCATACCAGAGAGAAAGTCAGGGGGTGTTTGAGGCATACCTTTAACCTTTTAGGATGATACCAAAGCCAACATTTGATATTATCAAAAGCAATAGGGGCGCCTGGGTGGCTCAGTCCGTTAAGGGTCTGACTTCAGCTCAGGTCATGATCTTGCTGTTTGTGAGTTCGAGCCCCGCATCAGGCTCTGTGCTGACAGCTCACAGCCTGGAGCCTGTCTTGGATTCTGTGTCTCTCTTTCTCTCTGCCCCTCCCATGCTCACGCTCTGTCTCTTTCTGTTTGTCAATAATAAATAAAAGTTAAAAATTTTCTAAAGCAATAATTAATTTTTTAGACATTTTATGGATAGCCCCAAAAATGTAGGTAAGTAAAAATCATATCCCTGATTAAAGGCTTTGAGACTTTCTCCAAAAAAAAAAAAAAAGTCACATAATAATATCACCTTTTCCATGCAAATCCTGGGATTCACGGGGTCCCATCTCCCCATTTAGGAGACCTGGTTCTGGAGTCCAGAGCAGGTTAGGAAATTGGCTTTGAGTTCTACAAGTCCCAGGTTTAATCTCAGCTCTATCCCATGAGGCTGTGTGGCCTGGAGAAACTTGCTTTACTTCTCTGAATATTTAGTTTCTCATCCAATACCATGTGAGACAATGTGTGTGAAATACCTAGAAAACGCCTCCGAATGGCAACAATAATTACTCAAGAGCAGCAGCTCCAAATACATTAGCTCAGGTGCTTTCCTAGTACCCTTCCTCTG